AATTTCCGGCACCAATTTTAAGAGTGTAGAAAACCATTGCAATCCAGAACAATGTGAAAAATCCTCTAAACGGATCCCCATGTGTTTCCAAGGTCTCCCGATCGAGTTGAGAAGTTCGAGGCTTAAAGGTTTCGCCTCGCTTTGCTATCTTTCGTGATAATCGGTTCAGATCTTCTTCATCAATGCTCGCTATGGTGGTCACGGTAATATTGTTAGCAGAACTATTTTTGTTAAGGGAAGTTGAGACGATGTTTTCCACAATTGTCATCTTTTCGGCCTTGAAAGTGATAGAGCAAATGATTAGTTCATGCGTTAGCCAGAAAACATTAAGTTCCTCATACCAGAGTCTTCTGCAACATGCTTTCTAAATGATTTTGAGATGTATTCGTATAATTGTGAGGGAAATGAATGATTAAGTTGGAATTAGGGAATGAAGCCGACAGGATTTATCTATGACTGACAGTATATATATACGAATATTGGTGTAAGGATGCAAGAGAAATGGAATATGCACATCGGCCGAAAGTTTTTGCAGTTTTTGCACCCGCGGGGGCATCTGTGATATGTCGATCTGTGCTCCGACGACCATATAGGCAAGCTCTACCACACACAATGACACGGGTCGTTTTACGGTTCCGACATAATTGGAAGTCACGAGTACACACGAAACCTAAATATGTAACTTTAAGTGTTGAGCTCAACGAAACTTCAACCAAATGCGGAATGCGGAGAAAGCTAATGAAATACCTATCGTACCCTACCTCCTTTTTATTCACATGTCATTCATCGCCAAGCCATTCAAATCATTTTTTGAATTATAGAACCTTAAAATAGTTGTTTACTTTGACTTTACCGTCAAGATAGTAATGCAATGGTCTTCACCATTGAAGTCATTGGATTATAGAACCTTAAAGTAGTTATTTACTTCGACTTTATCGTCAAGATAGTAATGCCGTGGAATTCACCATATACGAAGAATCGGTATTAATCTGTGATTCATGATTATGGATTTGGTAAATAATAATGATCCTTGGTTTGCATAGGCGGGTTGTTTATATACGTGTATTAAGAAAAATATGACACGTTTGATTTTTTTTACACTGGCCAAGGTGGGCTTAGGAAATGATCGTCGCATCGAATATGGCAGGTTTCCTTCTTTCAATCGGAATTTAAACTGTATAAACAAATCGTAATGATAACAATATATTTCCTCGAAATGATAAGTCAAATTCATTGGGACGAGCGAAATACGCAGACCTCTCAACGTGTGCATATGACTATCGAGTTTCTCGACGGAAATCAAATCAAATTTCTTCACAGTAAAATGATGTACTGTACTGTACTGTATTTACGTATATACTGTCGATATTGACAAATTTATATTATGTTGTATATAAGCTGCGAATATACAAAGGTCTGACAATGTAAAAAACTTTGAAAATATTAAAGAACATCAATTGCAGAACATGATTATCATTTAAAACTAAAACAAATCAACAAAAGAAAAAACCCTCATTCTTCGAGCGCACAATTCTTCAATGATTAATTATCTATTTGACATCAATGCGGCGTCCAGTGGCATCTTCGGTACGTGGAATCTATTTTCAAATATACGTGGTATGGTACACTTTATCATGATATTTACATATAATACAGAGAAGATGCGTAAACATTAAAACAAGCTCACCGTAATCTCCAAGATTCCATCGGCGAACTTCGCATTGGTCTTTTCGGTATCAGTCTTGATAGGTAGAGGAATGGTGCGCTATAAATTTAAAAAAAAAAAAATTTTTTTTTTTATAAGAAATCATTTCAAAAATTACGAGTGTAAAGCAAGAAAGCATACCTGGAAACGACCGAATCGCCTCTCACGGATCCATCCGGTACCAGTATCATATTCATCCTCTTTTTTATTCTCGCCGCTAATGACAAGATTATTGTCGCGAACCTCGACTAATTTAAAAAAAATAATTTTAATATGTGAACTCATCGAATGAATTCGCAGTATGGCACATACCATTCACGTTCTCTTTTGGAACACCAGGCAACTCAGCTTATAGGGAAGAAATTATATTGAATTAACAATGTTATTAAGGTTCGCTATTATTATATCTTGGAAGGTTCATACCATGGACCACGACATTGTTTCCAACTTCGCGTACTACGTAATACACGAGGATAAGTTACGAAATATTGGATGCATCACGAAAAAAACGAGTCACTTTTATAAATTCATAGATTACCATCGACACGAGGGGAAAAAGATCCAACAATGTCGCCATCCTTCATACCTCCTCTCGCGTCATTGAAGAAATCACCGAAGATACGATCAACATCCCGACGAAAACGATTTAAGGTATCATCAAAAAAGTTGTCATCGCGAGGAGTCAAAGCGTTGCTGCGAGTTCCGAAAGGTGACCACGATGAAAGGGCCATTGCGATGAGGATTAAGATGGAAAATAAAACAAAGGTAAATATGATTGTTTTAGTTGCGAATATGTTTGGATCGATATATGTGCAAAGTAGATGGGTAAAGTTTGAAGGATCCGTTTTGAAATTTTTTTTTAGAATTCTAACTTTTCATCCTGGATTGCGCATACTTATATGATCTGACCAAATAATGCAGTCATAGATAACTGGTCATGACCTCATTATGAGATTGATATTACGAAAGGAATATGCAATGATTACTTCGATGTCGAATGAATCATCTTGAGAACGTGAGAAGTATCCATTAATTTATCATCACCATGGAAACAAATCGAAATTTCTTAATTCTGTAAATTCACGTGACTATTAACGAAACTATGTGTTGTATAATTAATACACCAAAACTTTCGAAAACCAAAGTATCAAAAATCAAAAAATCAAGGATCGATACTATAATTCGCTGATGATCAAGATTTCAAAATCAAACATGAAATCATCTTAACGTCCCACTGGTAAATTAGTAAGGAGTGGATTTCACCAAGTAAATTTCAAGGTAAAGGTGAGAACGTATCTAAGAATCGGTGGTTCAATAAATTATTGGAATTGCGATTGCTGAACGCGATCCTTTTCACGTGACCAAGAGATCGACGTCGCAACTCAGCGCCACAGCCAAATATGGACATGTGGAAAAAGAGAATAACGATGAAAAATGGTGAAAGTTTGGTAGATCAAAAAATCAATTGACCGTGATGTTCCCTCTTTTAGTGTTGGCTACGTAAGATCTGTCGAGGATTAACCACGGACCGTTTTAAACACATTATCACAACTCCTATTGTTGAAGGTTAACCTGTTAAGCACGGTATTTTTTAATAATAATTTTACCGGTGGAACTAATAAAAAGATACAATTTTAATGTTAATTTTTAATTCATTATAAATTTTTTTTTTTTTTAATTCAATATACAATATAAAACAAACAAAAATAATTGGTGGGAATAAAATTTCCAAATAACTTTTTATGAAATAAATTGATTTACTGTATATGGTTTTTCTTATTTTTAAATTAAAATTTTATTAATTAAAATTTAAAAATTTGTTAAATAAAATAATATAAATTATTAAATTATTAATACTGTATATATATACAGTATGTATGTGTGTGTATGTAAAAATATGCAAACTTATAATAAATTATTATAAATAAATAAAATTGTTAAAAAAGATTTTAATTTAATTTAATTTTTTTATAATTTATTTTTACTTTTTAACATTTTATTTTTTAAAAAAAATTTTTATAATATATTTTTTATAATCAATAATCTTATTGAATTGTATATCTACATAATCTTTAATTTTTATAAACTGATTTAAACATTTCTATTTTAAATAAGAATTATCATTTTTATAAAAAAGATATAGGATTTAATTGTTTTTGAATATGCCTTAATATATATATACATTTCTTGTAATTAAGAAATAAAAAAGTAATTGATTTAAATAATTAATAGACTGTTCGTGTATAGGTGTAATCTTCAAAAATGATTAATAAAATCCACTCATGTAGTGCAATTAGCATTAAAAAAAAAAAAGAAAGTAATTGATTTAAGCAAGATAAAAAAAAAGAATAAACAAATTGAGAATAAAAAAGAATTGATATTTACTGTATGTTGCTTACACATTTTTATATTTTAATATATATACATATATTGCTTAAATCATTGATTTTTTTTTAAAATAAATGTTTTTTACTTGTTAATACATAATTATTTAAAAAATAAAGGTCTATACATATTTTTTTATGATAATAACAATCATTTTTAAAATATAATGACGCTTGGATTGGATTTTCAACTTATAAAATTCGAATATCTAATTTAAACCTTATTTTAAACTTTTTTAATATTTATAATTAAAATAAGGTGTCGACTAGTTAAATATTCATATTGTTAGGATTCTGGGACTCTATATAATCATGATGTATAGGTAGAAGTAAAGGTAAGTTTTTATGAGAGAGAAAAATAATATAAATTTTATATAAAAGTATTTTTCAATTATAATTTATCAGACAGCAGGTAAGTATTTATTGTTTTGTGACAAAAATTTATCAGAAATAAAATAAATTAAAGAAATAATTAATACCCTAGCCATGGCAAAAACGAGGTGTCGGATCACGTGACTTCCGACCACTCCGACCCGATGATATACGGTT